AGCTAGGCCAGGCCTCCCAGCCAAAGCTAGCACCCATTCATTAAATACTTCTTAACATCCATAACCAATGCCTGATCAGTGGATGATTTTACTAACCAAGATCCAAGTAGACTGTTTTTATACCTTTATTAATACTCTTAGTTATAACATTAAAAGTGCCCAATTTAAAAAATCTCCTTCCTATGAAATTTAGAAGTAGGCACTAATAACATTATTTCAAATTTTTAATTATTCATTTTGGTAAATTATTATGTTAGATTAACAAAGAATAATAGGTTAAACAAAATTTAATATAATAGTTGGAAAATACCATTTTAGTTAAAATGTAAATTTAACCTAAGTACTGTCTCTTATACACATCTAGATGTGTATAAGAGACAGATATACACCGGATGATCTTAATCATTTTCGGACTTGTATTGACAAATTATCATAAACGAACATGAAAAGTCTTACCGTAATTGCATGCTTAGCATACATCTTCGTGTTTTGAGTGATTTTGAAAATTGCATGTACCGGCAATCGCATTTTACTGATTTTTTATAGTTTGTTCCGCATCGTATTTTTTCAAACGTCAATTTTGAGTGATATTAAATATTGGGCCTCAAAGTACCAGTTTCGTAGTTCAATTTGATTTTCATTATTCATTATAAACTCCAACAATTATAATTATAGTAATGGTGATAAAAAAATAATAATCATAACGAATGGTGATGAAAATGATGACGATTATGTATATTAAATAACTTTGTTTTATCAGACCACAATCCTACACTACTCTAGCATGATGTACTAGAATTCCAATATTTTCCCACCTCTCATTGCAGCATTGAACGATCGTAATACCTCGGGGGAATAATTATGACATTCATATGTCCAGTCCTACATTTGTATGTACTGTATGGAAATTATTGGATACAACACTATATTAGTTCCTACGAAGACCTAATATTCGAAGATTTTTTTTTTCATAAATATTACCGGTACTTAATTTTAAATTTAAGACGCGTGTTATATTTCTATGCACTCTTTGGTCGGCCTTCAATGCCGGTGTCACAACTCTCTATTTATAACTTCGAATTAAAAACTTGGTCAATCATGGATTGACAAGATGCGTAGGAAGATATGAACGATGTGTCGGAATGAATCAATACACACTATGTCTTGGAGCACGTCGTTTTCATAAAGCAATATCTACATATCAATGGTAATATACGGCAGCTATCTTTCATTCATTATTTACAATTCTTTAATGGACCTATAACATATAAAGATTTATTTTCATTAACACGATAACATGCTCTTACATAAATACGCCTCAGTATAAAATATCGATTACAGGCCAAGATAACGGTCTATGCAAGGAGTAGACATTTTAGAAATATGTACGCGTCTGTTATGAGCGATAGGAATATTTTTTTCGTTATAATTAAAAATAAATTAATGTGATGGACGCTAATACATTACTTAATATAAAGCTAGGCATACACTATCGACGCAATTCAACTGAAAACGCAAGGCGACGAGGTGAGCGGAAAGGAGCGTTTTTAATTAACGATTCGCACAGAATGCCGCCGACAGTGATCAGACGGTCGCTTCGTCAAGGGTTCACAGAGAACAGAGACGGACTCGTCGACAACACACACACACACACACACACACACACACCCACACACACTATATGCCCGGCTAGCTAAAAAACTAAGCAATTCAAATATCTATTACATTTTTATATTTTTTAGCTTAATAATAAGCAGCAGGCCTCTATCGTTATTACACACTTGGAGCATGCCGATTTCATACAACATATTAATGGTAATATGATAATACTATCATAAACAGCCATCATTCGTTCATTATTTACAATTCTTGACACGAACGATTTATTTTCAGTAATATGATAACAAGCTTTTAAGTCATATCTTGAAACATACCCATCATCATCATGACGGTGACGATAAAGTTGGTCAGCAGAGCCATAAAACAGAAAACAAGATGAACTTTTGATCCGAATCGTGCGTACGTCACTTGTAAGAACGTCTTGGCTCCAGGGGCCTTGATTTTCAACTGGACTGATAGAGCTGCAAATAGCAGCAGCTGGACGGTTGCTCCTGCAGCATACCAGAATGGACCGCTAATTCCGTACTGTCAAATTAGAATATTAAAAATCTTATTACAATTTGTTTAAAAATTTGTCAACTTCTAAATCCGAACCCAGCTGTCTACAGTAGTGAAGCTGTAACTTGGCGGTTAAAATCGTCGTCTTTTGCACCCTATAGGGAATAGCGAGTCGAGTAGCGGCGCCGCTAGCTACAGCCTTAACATCGGCGCTGGTTCCAGCCGCTCCTCGCCCATGGTTCGGTTGGTAGAACCAAGTCTTCTCGGATAAGGACTTAAAATGGAGGTCCAGTGTATACATCTGGCTCGTATGGACTTTAAAGAACCCATTGCATCTTTCGAAAGAGTAGGGTTAATTGCTTAATAAGATGTTACGGTTCATTTCAGTCCCTGTCGTTGTGGAATGACGTGAACATCTACCACGAGGCGCCTCTTTACGGCTGCTAGGTAGTCACGGACCGCGCTCATACGCAATTCAACACAATGACGATGCAAGTTATGGGTTATTCTCCTACCTTTACCTTATACTATAAGGTAATTCGTAGTTTGAATTACGGATTATGTCCACTGACCTTGGATACGGGCATGCACAGTTCAAACTTACTGGTTTATTCCCAAGGTCCTAGGTTCAAATTATGTCAAATACTATAGGGTTTTGGTTTCTCGCAACAGCAACAATAGCAACAGTGGCGTATCTAGAAGTCTCTTATACACATCTAGATGTGTATAAGAGACAGTTCTACGACTGCTTCTTTGCCCTGCAACCCAGCAATTATACTTGCAGAAAACGTTCCTTTGAAACGTAAACGGCCAATTCTTGCTTTCAGAGAGTAGTTTCTATGTACCATTCTTAATTTTTTTTTTTTTTTTTTTTAAATCACCTTTTCTTTGTTTTATTTTTATTGTTAATTACAATCAAATCAAATTAAGTGTCTTTAATGGCGGTATACTGTTTTGGTCTTCCGCTTTATGACTTGTCCATAAAATGGAGAGGAGAATTATAATGAATGTAAACAATTTTGTTGGCGACCGAGATCGATTTGTCACCTTGACATTAAACAAGTAGGCATTGATGGAGGAATTTTTTTTTGTATTTATCAGTCTGATTTTCATGATCCGCAACCATTACTATTTATCAATCCAGAACTGTCTGTTATGCGAAGATTCAAGGAACGTCACATGGTTCTTACACGGATGTAGGCTACCACGTATGGGTAATCGCAAATAGTTTCCGATAGATTAAATAAGTAGAACCTAAGTAAGTTTAACTCGGAGTTCAACTTGCCCCAAGCGTTCCTGTTTCTGAATATCACACAGTATATATCTACAGAAATTCAATTAATGAAATAGGCCTATGAGAATTAGCCCAGGTACATCGAAAATAAATGAGTACCGAAGAGGAATGTAGGCTACAGCAGTCACATTTTCAACGATTCTCCGACGAGGTAGAGTAGCAGAGCTGCCCATCTATAAATTTGATTACCGTACTCGCGCGAATAAGCGCACAGGCGCTTAAAATATTTTTTTTGCACTTTCTGAGGGCGCTTATTTAAACGGGGAAACGAGGCGCTTATGAAAACAGAGTGGAAATTGATTGGGCGGAAAAGATAACAAGAATGCTGTGAATATTTACATAACAGCAAAATAGCAGATGCAATTAGTGGTGGTGGGTAGTGGTTAGCTTGTTGGCCATCGGCTGACAAATATGTAAGAGGAAAATTGGAAATTTTCTGTATGTGTTGGGATCGGAGCTTTCATCTGTCCGAGAGAAATATCCTCATTTTGATATTGATCTAAGAAGAATGTGATTCCACTCTGCCGCTCAAATCATGCCAAAACCACAGTTCCAGAATTGATTGGATTATTGACTTGCTAAAAAGAAAATATTATGGGCGCTTATTCAAACGGGGCGCTTAAGGAAATTTTCACGTTAGGAGGGGCGGTTATTCGAGAGGGGCGCTTAGTCAAACGGGGCGCTTATTCGCGCGAGTACGGTACTAAATAATTTGTGAATTAAGTTTTGGGTGGATTTTTGTTGTAAAGGTAAACTTACTCGTTATACGGCGGGTGGTATAACGTCTTTCCATTTCTCTTTTTATGTCCTTATTCATCTTTATTTTATGTCTGCTGATTATTGATCGAATAATGCATTGAATTGGATTGACTGTTCCCTTCCTACACCATTCCTCAGTCTGGCATAACGAAAGACAGACGGGCCTTAGGTGAATTTACAAGCAGGTTATGTTCAAATGTTGTTCCAAGTTGTCGTGTTGCACTTTTCGACAAGGTGGCATTTGCGTCTAAACCCATGTGGTCTTCCGACACTTTGTTATCTTTGTTATCTTATGGTAGGCCAAATTCAAGTTTAAGTAACGTACTTTTCATAAAATATGTAGGCCCTATCCGTTGTTAGACTAAGTTTCGATAAAGTTGATGATATAGGCCTAGGCCTAGATCCTGATTATACCAAAAAGTGCGCATTGTCAAAGGAAGTTTTTATAACTAGCCTACCTAGGCCTATAATAATACAGGCGTTATCCGGAATTATTGGATCCTACTACCACCATGGACCGCCTAGACCTAGGCCTAGGCCTAGTCTTACGCAGATTTATGACATGACTCATTTTATTAATAAATAAAAAAGAGCGTCTTCTCTCCTCAGTCTCAAACAAAAAAAGGCTCCTGTGTGTGTTGTACAGAGGTTAGGCCTAGGTAGGTAGGCCAGCCTAGGCTAGGGCTAGGTTGGACAATATACGGCACTTATCTAGGCTATTATAATACTGTAAATTGTAATACCATTTTATTATATTATAATAAATTATAAATTAAACTTATTTAGGCCCATAGCCTAGGCCTAGTATTCCTAGGGCCTAGCCCTTGGCCTATAAATATCTAGGCCTAGGCAGGTCAGGGCCGCCTAATAAGATAGGTTAGCCTAGGCCTAGGCCTAGTAGAGGATTCCTAGGCCAGGGCCTACCTACATACAATGTACATACCTTATCTTGAAAAACATATTGTCTGATCCAAGTAAATCCTTTTGCTAAGATAACGGCAAAAACGGCGAAAGCTAAAGTAATCCAAATTGCCACTGAAACTGTAAGTGACTCGGAGTCGATAACAAGATTACCAGTAGTGCTATTCCATCCTATTGACTCGCAAAATTCCATATCAGACCTGGATTTAGAAAATAAAACATGAAAATAATGACAAAAGTGTAACCTAGCCGCACACACATCATCATCCATGTTATCCCAAGGCACACAGAGAGCTGCATGCTCAGAGGGCGGCGCAGCGCAGATTATGCACTCTGCGTGTGTGGATTATTTTAAATTACACGCGCGCGTTTTCTAGCTATCAGTGCGCTCATCGCAAAATGGGGTGTTTAGTTATTTAACAATTATCATAATTATTATTCTACCAGAATTAATAGGCATATTACATCATGCTGTTGGACAGGCTATAATTTTATTAACAGAAACTTACTAATAATTTCTGCCTTGAAAGTATGACGCAGATTGACAGGTTTTCGGAAGAATGTAATGTGCTATTTCTGATCTACTATTTTGTGATCTTCCATCATAAGTATAGCCTAACATGCCGTAAAACCTCGAATAGAAGAACAATGGGCTACCCATCTCGAATTGAAGTTCCCCCCCCCCTTTAGTTTGCAAAAGTAGCCTCGAAAAGAAGCCCATCTCAAGAGAGCACTTGCTTCTTTTCGCGATAAGACAGTACAGCCTATAGACTGTACACGAATTTCAAAGAAACAAAATATAAAACACGTTTGGTTTAGAAAGTAGTTTAGGTGATTTAATGCCGGTTAATAAATACAGACTGATGTTAAAGTGACCCTATCTATTGTCTTATAGTAGTAATTTCCAAAATTTGCAGCATTCATTCTGAAAAGAAGTCCCTCACCTCCCACCCCACCCCACCCCACAAAAAAAAAAGACCCCAAAAAAAACCAAAAAAAAAAAAAAAAAAAAAAAAAAAAAAAAGAAAGAAAGAAATGAAGCCCATGTCTTCTATTCAAGTTACGGTATTTCGTAACTGGAATTCAATGTTTACAAGTGGATAAACGATCTTTTTCGTTTAAAATTTACACACCGAATCAGCCCAGCAAACAATTTTACGTTCCAGTTTCTTACAAATTACAATCATAAACACGTATTCATAACGTCATTTCTGACTCGACTAAATAACGTTGTCGGAAGCGCGTTGTGTTAAACGTGGTTTTCTGACATCTAACCAAAATAGGGAGTTTTCGTAACGAAAACGATAACGAATACGACGGCTACGTGATCAAATATTTAGACAAACCTTCCCCTACAATAGCATATCTGTCACAACGTAGGCGATTCATGTCTTTTGCATGAAGCAAAGATCATATTCAGCTCATACAGCATATTGTCAATTGATGTTTTAGGCACAAATGACGATAATGATAATGACGTATTCGTATTCGTTATCCTTTTCGTAAGGTTGAAAAATCTCCCTATGTTTACGTTAACGAATGTTGTAATAATAAAGTTTTATGTTTGCTTAAGATTCAGTGGACTCAGTGGCGTTATTCTCTATTGAATGACATGAATAGAAGAGATAATATAAATTGCTGACTGACCAATGCACGGAATGGCAATTCCCGGCTCCCCACCCTTTCTCTTTCCGCAGGCATACGGTAGCCAATCTAGTCGATTACAAACCCACAGTGTCAGATAATGGAAAGTATGGAAAATACGACTATAGCTAACACAACTTGTCAAATTAAACAAAGTGATACGTTTATAGTGCTTTGGGAATTCTGAAACAGCTGAAAATTAATAATAGGCATACGTAGGCAGTAAGTAATGATAACTTTTCAAGTCATTTGTAAATTCATTGACAACATGTTTTTTGTTTCATTAAAAGAAGTTAATTATTCATCTTTAATCGCACGAAAATGTTAAAATTTATTGTAGTTATCGATTAACAATCTCGCGTAATTTCACTGCGCATGCCTAGCGCGAAGGTCAAGGCATATCCATAAACCAAAATTACCGAAATAATACTCAACTGAATCAGAGTTACTCAAACGAAAGCCCAAATGAATCGAAATTACCCAAATGGAAACTTACTGAAGCTGAATACAAGGTTGTTTTTCAATGAACGTTCATAAAAGTTGTTAATTGTGCCCCGCAGTGGCGACGTCCAACCTAAATAACATCAAACGTCGCGTGGCCACAGCATAAACAATTATGTTTATTTTAATCCTTTTAAACATATTTAACATTTTAACATTTTTTATTCGTTTAGTCATTAACGGCGTATTAATTCATCTCAACGTAAGATCTCTTATCATAGGCCCGTTAGCTTATATTTCTAATGTTCTCAGCAAAGAGTATAAATACTCTTTTTTTAAAGGTAAGATACCGGTAAGTATTGTTTTACATAGGCCTATTAAACGTATATATACTAATTAAAATAATAAATATAAACGTGAGCCTGAGATAATACTTATAAAGACAAATGCATATTTTGGGACTAATTGGACAAAAAACGTTAAAAATTACAAATATTATTAGAAATTTTAATAACCTTAGACATTACTCCATGGAGGCCTACATATAGGAGCCTAGATGATTCTTGATTTTTCATTGAGTCGGATGATTGTCGGTGGCAGCGGTGGTAGTCTGAACATAATTATCGTTATTAAAAATGATCCGTTGCGCACGTGTCGTGGCGTTGCCGTTCTCCACAGAAGCGTGTCGGCCGACGACCGTCGGGTCCAGTGAATACCCAGCTTTAGATATAGCATGGATGTATTATTATACCTCCATGGATACTGTATACAAAATTCTTCTTTCACAAACCGTAAATGCCCGAAAAAGCATAACATTTTCGGATGCTTTAGTGCGGCGTTTATTCGAGAGCGGCGCTTATAAAAAAATATATATATTGGCGTTTGGCGCTTTCCATGCCCGTTCCCATGTTACATACCGTAAAATCTCGTAATTTTTGCGAACTTTGGATGGGCTTCTTTTCGAGACTACTTTTGCAAAGTAAAGAGGGGGGATTCTTTTCAAAATGAATGCTGTAAATTTTGTGAAAAAACAAAAACAAAACAATACATAAGGCCATTGTAACATCAATCTGTATCATGGAGTATATTTAACTGGCATTAAATCACAAACTACTGTATAAACCAAGCTTGTATTTAATTTATTTTGTATTATTTTTTTATTTTTTTTAATTCTATTTTCTTTTTTGTTTTTGTATGTTACTGTACAATCTCAAAGAAGCCTGATCTTCAAAAGAAGCCGATGGGTTTCTTTTTGAGATAGGCTTCGTTTCGAGGCTAATTTTGCAACCTAAAGAGGGGGCTTCAATTCGAGATGGGCTTTATCTCGAGATTAAGCATACTGGGCTTTAATTCGAGGTTTTACGGTACCTTACTTTACGTATTCCCGTAGTTCGGTAGACCTACAGTATCACAGGTACTACGTTATAGTAAATAAACGTTTAGAAAGAAATGCTTGTGTCCTCATTGTGTTATTTATTCATTTTAATACAGTATACTGTACATTGTATTTAAAACCCTGTGTTTTATTACATACAGGTTAATACTCTCGATTAAGCGATGCGGCGCTTATTCGAGAGCGGCGCTTAACGAAAAAAAAAAATCACGTTTGGTACGGCGATTATTTTGAGCACTTACGGTACTGTATATGATGGATAACCATACAAAAATATTCAATAAACAATGACAATATCCTTATTACCAGGGGCGGATCCAGAGATGTCCGAAAGAAGGGGGACGAAAGTGGGGCCGATAGAGATAACACTAGGCCTACCCAGGGGTCCGGGGGCATGCCCTACGAAATTTGGTGTTTTAGACGCCCGTAAGTAACCTCTGAGGCGCTTCGCGCGATCATTTTTGTTTCTTTCCTCCCCCACCCCCCCCCCACACACACACACACTAAATCCGCGACTGATTACCTCTACTCATTTATAAAATGAAAATACCCTTTATTTACCTCCGTGTAAAAACAATATATAATGAAAATACTCTTTACCTCTACCCATTTATATGCGGACACATAAATAAATAAATAAGAAATCCTCTTTACCCATTATTATCCTCCACCCACTATCATACGAATCAATATTGACATTTTACCTCTGCCAAAAACAGTACTCGAGTACTGCAAATACAGTATCGAAGTAAACACTTTATTACCTATCCTATAAGATACGGTGATAATGAAAATATCCACCTCACTCATCACTCGTTGTGTCCAGCTTCATTTGAAAATTTCATTAAGTTCCGATTCATTTGGGTTGGCCTCTGGGTAATTCTGTTTAATTTTGTTTAATTTTCGCACATAAACTAACCAAGCCAATTAAAAATTGAATTTAACAAACAAATCATACGGCATAACTGATCTCATAGCGTTAATTAATTAAACAGTTTTGAAGATTAGTAGCAGTATACTCGGCAAATGTCTACTATCTTAATTATGGAAATAATGAAAACCAAATATAGACATAATCAGCAACCGAAGTCACGAGACATAGTTGGTACAATAAAATTTGTAAACTGACTCAGGAAGCAATGGTAACAAGAGCATGGCTTCTTTGGAGTGTTTCTGCTTTAAGGCACATCTTTGGCGTTGAATAATGTTGGTAAAACGTCAGTATCTACTCTAAATCACTTGGAAATTGAACGTGGGAACATTATTATAGAAAGCACTCGTCGCCATACATATCAGAATGGTTTGCAACAGTTTTCGATCCGCATAATGCGAGTGGGACACACTACCGATTATCTAGGCTAGCCCCAGGCCCACCAACGATTACGTGAATTTCAGAGCCTAAATGTAGAGAACGCTACCATGAATAAGATCACTACAACAAAAAATCGAATGATCGTACTGACAAATGTTTTTGCTATACACTTGGAGAGCTTTTAGAACCATTCGTCACTGTCAGTCCGAGTCGCCATTTGTGTCTATATTCAAGTAAAATTACGGAGTGTGTGACAAACCCCAGGGTCAATTGGCACCTGTGTCAAAACGCAGTTACACCTTAACGTTAAAATAACTTTATATCCCTAATAATAACGCTACAGTTTGGTTACTGTTAGATTTTCCCCCGACAAATTTCACGAATGTTTAGTGTTTGCTCAGACGGATTTG